AACAAATAAATTAAATAGATAAATCAAGCAGTACAGCACGGCATCAGACACCGTGCCAGCACATTAGAAGGTGCACCATGAATGCCAGCTTCCTTCCTCTTTCCAGATTTATTTTCAACTGAAAAGTCAATGAATAGCGAATGATGGAATCACGGCCCCCCAGAGCACTGAGCTGAGGAGTAGATCCCTGCTGCCTGCTGAGCCATAGGCACAGATAAACACCCAGAATGTCGATGGGGACAGGTACCTTGGAGGGGCCGTTGACTGTATCCCCAAGACAGGAGCAGCCAGATGCCCCGTGCCTCCAAAAGGAAGGTGTGAGAATGCTCCCAGCCTGCCTCTGAGACTTTCTGCCAAAAAAGCTGAGTGTGAATCCTACGCACTCGCTTTACAGCTGACTTCCAGTTTCAAGGAGGAAGGGGATGGAGGGTGCCAGTAAACGACACTAAAGGCAGCCCAGATTGGGAGGCAGGGTCCCTCTGCGGGACAGCTAAACCAGCTCATGCCACAAGCCAATGGTCAGAAGGGAGGAGGGGGCGCTCTAGGTTAAAAGATAATTGAGAAGCACAGCACCCAAATATGGGTAGCCTTTGTTTGGATTCTATTTGAACAAAAGACATGAAAAGAGACTTTATTTTTCAAGCAATGGGGAAGTGCGACTATGGCCAGGGTATTAGATGACATCAAAGACTTCCTGGCCACTAAGCGTCACAATATCATTACAATCGTGCAGGAAAACGTCCGTACGAAGTACACAGGGATAACATGGGATTTGCTTTTTAGGAAGAGCTATGATGGCAGACCAAAAACGTACGGTTATTTGGTGTAACATATCTGTTTGCCAGAGGCCTCCCTATTTGTCTATAGTGTAAGAACATTTTGACAAGCAGTTTTTATTTATAGAAACAAAAATAAAGGTATTTGCAATCCCAAATACTCAGGAGGCTAAGGCAGGAGGTTTACCTGAGTCCAGGAGGTCAAGGCTGCAGAGCGTTATGACTGTGCAACTGCATTCCAGTCTGGGTGACAGAGTGAGACCGTGTCACACACACACAAAAAGCTATTTGCAAAATTTTTGAAAAGTTAATGATAAGAATCAATGAGGCCAGGTGTAGTGGCTCATGTCTGTAATCTCAGGACTTTGAAAAACTGAGGAGTGGTGATCACTTGAGGTCAGGAGTTCGAGACCACCCTGACAGCATTGTGAAACCCCATCTCTACTAAAAATATAAAAATTCGCCGGCATGGTGGCCGCATGCCTGTGATCCCAGCTACTTGGGAGGCTGAGGCAGGAGGATTGTTTGAACTCAGGAGGTGGAGGTTACTGTGAGCTGAGATCATGTCACTGTACTCCAGCCTGGGTGACGGAGTGAGATTCTGTCTCAGAAAAAAGGAAAGAAAAAGAATCAATGGCAGTAATGCTATAGTAAAACCAGTCTATTCATTTATTCATGGCAAAAGCATACAAGCCTGTGGGAAAATAATTTGGCAATAAGCAGCGAGAACCATACGCATATTCATGTTCTCTAGCTCGAGACTCTGACTGCTGGGATTTGCCCTAATGAAATAACCCGAAAGAAGGGAAAGCCACACACAGCAAGGGTGTGGCTCTGGAGTTACGTGCTTTGGCTTGATGGCACTGGAAAGCAAAGTTACGAGGGCTGTGTCGCAACTTGGAAGCCTGCGCAAGCAGCTGGAAGGGTGCTGTGATTACAGCTGTGTGAAGGCATGTGCGCTGGGGCCTGGCCAGCGGGGAGCCTGGAGAGGTGAGTGTGGTGGCTGGATCAGGAGAGAGGCAGGTCTGCTAGGAAGCAGGGGCCGGGGGCAGGGTGTGTTTGCAAGCTGGCACCGTGCTGCCATGGCCACGCGTACAACTTCAGTGCAAATGGATTGTGACCTGGAGTGACCCCCGAACACCTGGTGGAAACCCAGCCAGGCTGACACTGGGCAAAGCCGGTTGTCGGGGGCCCTGGGGAGACCCTGTCTTCCCCCCATTCCTCTCTGCCAGTCTTGGGGCCCTGGGCTTGCACACAGACCGGCTTTCTGCATAAGATAGGGTTATCAGACCCTTTCCTGAAATCGCGGGCGGGAAAGAGGTGAGGTCATGAAGGCAGCGTGGGAGGGAAGAAGGGAAGGGATGCGGCGGGAGAGGGAACACAGCAAAGGAGGGATGCCGCGGGAGAGGGAACACAGCAAAGGAGGTTTACTGGTCCAGGTCCTCTGCGTACATCATCTCGCTGCCTCAAAATGTTTGGGGAATGCAGCGCAGTATAAAATATTTCTTCACTTTTCCTTCACTATAGTCTTCTGTAGGTATTACTGTCCTCATTTTACAGACGACAAAGCTGAGGCTCCAAGGGAGTGGTAACTTTACAAAGGTTTACTAAGGTTTTAGGTGTAAAACTGAGATACTAACCCAGATCTGTGTCTCTGGGGCTAGGCTGCCGGGGGAAATCAGCCCAGGTCATCTCTCTCTCTCTCTCTCTCTCTCCAGTATCACCTGTGGCTTCTTAGATAGGAAACTGAGGCTGAACACTTACAGGCTTGCGCAAGTCACTGCACCGCCCACTGCCAGCCTCCTCAATTATCGACCCAGGATCTGATGTCAAGCCCCACCCTCAGGGTGCTGGGCCCTCATGTCCCATTTAAGTGTGGCCCTAAAGGCTGACAGAGTTTTCTTTTCCCAACAGGTACATGGTCCATCCCTCCAGGCCCCTTAGAGAGGGGACTCAGCGAAGAGACTGAGGGAGATGGGATGTGCCAGGGTTTCCCGCTAGGAGCCTCGTCTTTCCACCCCTTCTCTGTTTCCTGTGAGAACACAGTGCTCCTCCCCTCCAGAAGATGAAGGAACAGGGCACCATCCTGGAAGCAAAGGGAGCAGCCCCCGCCAGACCCCAAGTCTGCTGCAGCTTCATCTTGGACTTCCCAACCTCTAGAGTTGTGAGAAAATAAAGTTCTGTTGTTTACAAATTACCCAGTCCACAGAGTCGTGTTCCAGCAGCATAAGGGACTAAGACACTGTCAACACTTGTTAATTTCTGTTGTCACGCCATCGTGGTGGTTGTAAACTGGTATCACATTGTGATTTTGATTTGCATTTCCCTGATGATTAGTGAGGCTGAGCATCTTTTCACGTGCTTGTCGGCTCTTTGCGTGTCTTCTTTGAATAAATGTCTATTCAAATTCTGTCCATTTTTAAGTTGGGTTGTATGTCTTTATTGTGGTTAGGTTGTGCTTTATACAACCAAATGTGGTGGCTCATGCCTGTAATTCCAGCACTTTGGGAGGCCCAGGCGGGTGGATCTCCTGAGGTTGGGACTTCGAGACCAGCCTGACCAACATGGAAAACCCCATCTCTACTAAAAATACAAAAAAAATTGGCCGGGCGTGCTGGCACATGCCTGTAATCCCAGTTACTCGGGAGGCTGAGGCAGGAGAAGCCCTTGAACCCGAGAGGCAGAGGTTGTGGTAAGCCGAGATCGCACCATCGCACTCCAGCCTGGGCAACAACAGTGAAGCTCCCTCTCAAAATACTACTACTCAAAATACAAAATACTACTACTACTACTACTAATAATAATAGTAATAATAGTGCTTTATATATTCTGGATAGTAGATTTTTTATCAGATATGTGATTTGCAATTTCTCCCATTCTGAGGGTTGTCTTTTCACATTTTCTCTCTCTCTGTCTCTCTCTCACTCTCACTCTCTCTCCCTCTCTCTCTCTAAGAAACAGGGTCTTGCTGGGCGCGGTGGCTCACGCCTGTAATCCCAGAACTTTGGGAGACCGAGGTGGGCGGATCACAAGGTCAGGAGATTGAGACCATCCTGGCTAACACAGTGAAACCTCATCTCTACTAAAAATACAAAAAATTCGCTGGGCGTGGTAGCAGCGCCTGTAGTCCCAGCTACTCGGGAGGCTGAGGCAGGAGAATGGCGTGAACCCGGGAGGCGGAGCTTGCAGTGAGTGCAGATCGTGCCATGCACTCCAGCCTGGGCAACAGAGCGAGACTCCATCCCCCCCGCAAAAAAAGAAACAGGGTCTCATTCTGTCTCCCAGGCTAAAGTGCAATGACATAATCATAGCTCACTACAGCCTCAAACCCCTGGGCTCAAGTGATCCTCCCACTTCAGCCTCCCAAGTAGCTGGGACTATTGGTGTGCACCACCACACCTGGCTAATTTATTATTATTATTTTTATTTATTTATTTTTTTTTGAGAAGGAGTCTTGCTCTGTCGACCAGGCTAGAGTGCAGTGGCGTGATCTCAGCTCACTGCAACCTCCACCTCCTGGGTTCAAGCGATTCTTGTGCCTCGGCTTCCCGAGTAACTGGGATTACAGGCACGCATCACCATGCCCGGCTAATTTTTGTATTTTTAGTAGAGATAGAGTTTCACCATGTTGGCCAGGCTGATCTCAAACTCCTGACTTCAAGTGATCCACCCGCCTCGGCCTTCCAAAAGCGTTGGGATTACAGGCGTGAGCCACCATACCTGGCTGACAGTGTTCTTTGATGCACAAAAGTTTTTAGTCTTGATAAAGTATAAATTTATCTATTGTTATTGTCACATCGCATGTGACTTTGGTGACATCTGAGCACCCACTGCCAAATCCAAGGCATTAAGATTTGCCCCAGTGTTTTCTCTAAGAGTTTTATACCTTTAACTGTTATACTTAGGTCTTTGGTCCCTTTTGTTTATAGTGTGAGGAAAGACCTCAGCTTTATTTTTTTGCATTAGGATATCTGGCTAGCCCAGCATCATTTATTGAAGAGATTGTTCTCTGTGAAATGGCTTTGAAATATTATTGGTTGAAGAATTGTTTTTCTGAGTTCCCTTGCTTCAGTAGCAAATATACTAATAACTGGAATGATACAGAGAAGATTAGGATGGCCCCTGGGCAAGGATGACATGCAAATTTGTGAAGTGTTCATTTTATTAGAAATAAAAATTAAATTACAAATTTTTTAAGGAATTGTTTTTTGGATATACAATTCTTGGTTGACAGTTTTTTTTCTTTTATCATTTTAAATATGCCAAGCTTCTGGCCTCCATGGTTTCTGACGAGAAATCAGCTGTTAATTTTATTGAGGATCCCTTATATGTGACAAGTTTACTTCTCTTGTGATGCTTTGAAGATTCTCTCTTTTGCTGGATAGGAGTGAAGCAAGACGGCAAAATAGGACTTTACAGTGATTGTCCCGCCACAGAAACATCAATTTGAACAAGTATTCATGCTTGAAAATATCTTCACGCGAGCTCAGGAAACCAGGTGAGAGATCGCAGTACCTGGCTGTAGCATAATGAGAAATTATACACTGGCGAGGGTAGGATAGGCGGTTTTAAATTACCCACATCATCCTTCCCCAGCCCCAGGCAGCACAGAATTGAGAGACATGCCATCCTCTGGGGACGAAGAGAGGGAAGTGAGCAAAGGACTTTTCCTTAGACCCCAATACCAGGCCCAGCACCAGGAAAACCCCCACATCCCATATTCCAGGCCAGTAATCATGGACTGAGACTCTAAACCTGCCCTCAGATCACACCATATACAAAAATTAACTCAAAATGAATTAATGACTTAAATGTAAGTACCAAATTATGAAACTACTAAAAGAAAACGTAGGGGAAAATCTCCATGGCACTGGCCTGGGTAAGGAGTTTTTGAGAAAACCCCCAAAGCATAGGCAACAGAAGCAAAAATAGATAACTGGGATTACATCAAGCTATAAAGTTTCTTTTTTCTTTTTTATTTTTTTGAGACAGGGTATCACTCTGTTGCCCAGGCTGGAGTGCAGTAGCGTGATCACAGCTCACTGCCACCTTGACCTCCAGCCTCAGGTGATTTTTTAAAATTTACTTTTATTTTTGTATGTATCTAAAATATTTCAAAAGCATATAAAATGTATATTCAGACACACTGTTACATTTCTTCCCTCAGCCTTATTATGACCATACCGTGTAGTTAACCATATAGTATGGTAAATTCACATTTCTTCCCTCAGCCTATGACCATACCGTGTAGTTAACCATATAGTATGGAGTTAACCATATGGTATGGTAAATTCACATTTCTTCCCTCAGCCTTACTATGACCATACCGTGTAGTTAACCATATAGTATGGTAAATTCACATTTCTTCCCTCAGCCTATGACCATACTGTGTAGTTAACCATATAGTATGGTAAATTCACATTTCTTCCCTCAGCCTTACTATGACCATACCATGTAGTTAACCATATGGTATGGTAAATTCACATTTCTTCCCTCAGCCTTACTATGACCATACCGTGTAGTTAACCATATAGTATGGTAAATTCACATTTCTTCCCTCAGCCTTACTATGACCATACCATGTAGTTAACCATATGGTATGGTAAATTCACATTTCTTCCCTCAGCCTATGACCATACCATGTAGTTAACCATACAGTATGGTAAATTCTATATTTTTTGTTCTTCCTGGGTGTCTTTTCTTTTTATTATACTTAAGTTCTGGGATACATGTGCAGAACGTGCAGGTTTGTTACACAGGTATACACGTGCCATGGTGGTTTGCTGTACCCATCAACCCATCATCTACATTAGGTATTTCTTCTAATGTATCCCTTCCCTTGCCCCTCATCCCCAACAGGTCCCAGTGTGTGATGTTCCCCTCCCTGTGCCCATATGTTCTCATGGTTCAACTCCCACTTATGAGTGAGAACATGTCGTGTTGGGTTTTCTGTGTTAGTTTGCTGAGAATGATGGTTTCCAGCTTCATCCATGTCCCTGCAAAGGACACGGACTCATTCTTTTTTATGGCTGCATAGTATTCCATGGTGTATATGTGCCACATTTCTTTTATCCAGTCTATCCTTGATGGGCATTTGGGTTGGTTCCAAGTCTTTGCTATTGTGAACAGTGCTGCAATAAACATATGTGTACATGTGTCTTTATAGCAGAATAATTTATAATCCTTTGGGTATATACCCAGTAATGGGATTGCTGGTCAAATGGTATTTCTAGTTCTAGGTCCTTGAGGAATCGCCACACTGTTTTCCACAATGGTTGAACTAATTTACATTCCCACCAACAGTGTAAAAGCGTTCTTATTTCTCCGCATCCTCTCCAGCATCTGTTGTTTCCTGACTTTTTAATGATAGCCATTCTAATTGGTGTGAGACGGTATCTCATTGTGGTTTTGATTTGCATGTCTCTAATGACTGGTGATAATGAACTTTTTTTCAAATGTTTGTTGGTCGCATAAATGTCTTCTTTTGAAAAGTGTCTGTTCATATCCTTTGCCCACTTTCTGATGGTTTTTTTTTTTTTTTCCTGTAAATTTGTTTAAGTTCTTTGTAGATTCTGGATATTAGCCCTTTGTCAGATGGATTGATTGCAAAAGTTTTCTCCCATTCTGTAGGTTTGTCTGTTTACTCTGATCATAGCTTCTTTTGCTATGCAGAAGCTCTTTAATTTAATTAGATCCCATTTGTGAATTTTGGCTTTTGCTGCCATTGCTTTTGGTATTTTAGTCATGAAGTCCTTTGCCCATGCCTGTGTCCTAAATGGCATTGCCTAGGTTTTCTTCTAGGGTTTTTACAGTTTTAGTTCTTATGCTTAGATCTTTAATCCAGCTTGAGTTAATTTTTGTATAAGGTGTAAGGAAGGTGTCCAGTTTCAGTTTTCTGCATATGACTAGCCAGCTTTCCCAACACCATTTATTAAATAGGGAATCCTTTCCCCATTGCTTGTTTTTGTCAGGTTTGTCAAAGATCAGATGGTTGTAGATGTGTGGTGTTATTTGGGAAGGCTCTGTTCTGTTCCATTGTTCTATATATCTGTTTTGGTGCCAGAACCAAGCTGTTTTGGTTACTGTAGACTTGTAGTATAGTTTAAAGTCAAGATAGTGTGATGCCTCCAGCTTTGTTCTTCTTGCTTAGGATTGTCTTGGCTAAATAGGCTCTTTTTTGGTTCCATATGAAATTTAAAGTAGTTTTTTTCTAATTCTGTGAAGAAGGTCAATGGTAGCTTGATGGGAATAGCATTGAATCTATAAATTACTTTGGGCAGTGTGGCCATTTTCACGATACTGATTCTTCCTATCCATGAGCATGGAATGTTTTTCCATTTGTTTGTGTCCTCTCTTATTTCCTTAAGCAGTGGTTTGTAGTTCTCCTTGAAGAGGTCCTTTGTATCACTTGTAAGTTGTATTCCTAGATATTTTATTCTCTTCATAGCAATTGTGAATGGGCGTTAACTCATTATTTGGCTCTCTGTTTGTCTATTATTGGTGTTTAGGAATGCTTGTGATTTTTGCACATTGATTTCGTATCCTGAGACTTTGCTGAAGTTGCTTCTCAGCTTAAGGAGTTTTTGCACTGAGACAACGGGGTTTTCTAAATGTACAATCATGTCATCTGCAAACAGAGATAATTTGGCTTCCTCTCTTCCTATCTGAATACCCTTTATTTCTTGCTCTTGCCTGATTGCCCTGGCCAGAACTTCCAATACTATGTTGAATATGAGTGGTGAGAGAGGGCATCCTTGTCTTGTGCTTGTTTTCAAAGGGAGTGCTTCCAGTGTTGGCCCATTCAGCATGATATTGGCTGTGGGTTTGTCATAAATAGCTTTCATTATTTTGAGATACATTCCATCAATACCTAGGTTATCGAGTGTTTTTAGCATGAAAGGCTGTTGAATTTTATTGCGGGCCTTTTCTGCATCTATTGAGATAATCATGTGGTTTTTGTCATTGGTTCTGTTTATGTGATGGATTACATTTATTGATTTGCATATGTTGAACCAGCCATCCCAGGGATGAAGCTGACTTGATTGTGGTTGATAAGCTTTTTGATGTGCTGCTGGATTTGGTTTACCAGTATTTATTGAGGATTTTTGCATCAATTTTCATCAGGGATATTGGCCTAAAATTTTTTTGTGTGTGTCTCTGCCAGCTTTTGGTAGCAGGATAATGCTGGCCTCATAAAATGAGTTAGGGAGGATTCCCTCTTTTTCTATTGCTTGGAATAATTTTAGAAGGAATGGTACCAGTTCCTCTTTGTACCTCTGGTAGAATTCGGCTGTGAATCCATCTGGTCCTGGGCTTTTTTTGGTTGGTAGGCTCTTAATTACTGCCTCAATTTCAGAACTTGTTATGGTTCTTTTCAGGGATTGGACTTCTTCCTGGTTTAGTCTTGAGAGGGTGTATGTATCCGGGAATTTATCCATTTCTTCTATCTTTTTTTTTTTTTTGAGACGGAGTCTAGCTCTGTCGCCCAGGCTGGAGTGCACTGGCTCCATCTCGGCTCACTGCAAGCTCCACCTCCTGGGTTCACACCATTCTCCTGCCTCAGCCTCCCGTGTAGCTGGGACTACAGGCGCCCGCCAACATGCCCAGCTAATTTTTTGTATTTTTAGTAGAGACAGGGTTTCACTGTGTTAGCCAGGGTGGTCTTGATCTCCTGACCTCGTGATCTGCCCTTCTCAGTCTCCCAAAGTGCTGGGATTACAGGCGTGAGCCACCGCGCCCGGCCTTCTTCTAGATTTTCAAGTTTATTTGTGTAGAGGTGTTTATAGTATTATCTGATGGTAGTTTGTATTTCTATGGGGTCAGTGGTGATATCCCCTTTATCATTTTTTATTGTGTCTATTTGATTCTTCTCTTTTCTTCTTTCTTAGTCAGCTCAGGTGATTTTTCCACCACAGCCTCCCAAGTAACTGGGAGGACAGGTGCATGCACTATGCCCAGCTGAGTTTTGTTTTTTGAATTTCTTTTTGGTACAGACAGAGTTTTGCCATGTTACCCAGGCTGATCTTGAGCTCCTGGGCTCAAGCAGGCTGCTCACCTCAGCCTCCCAAAGTGCTGGGATTACAGGTGTGAGCCACTGCGCCCAGCTCTAAAACGCTTCTGCACAGCGAGGGAAAAAATCAGCAGAGTGAAGAGACAATCTCCAGAATGAGAGAGAACACTTGCAAACTACTCATCTGCTACAAAGTCGGCATCTAAAATATACAAGGAACTTAAACAGCTCAACAGCAAGACAATAACCCAGTTTTTTAAATGGGCAGAGGACCTGAATAGATATTTCCTAAAAGAAGTAATTTATATATATTCTGGATAGTAGGTTTTTATGAGATATGTGATGTGCAATTTCTTTCTCCCATTTTGTGGGTTGTCTTTTCACTTTCTGTCTTTTTTTTTTTTTTTTGATGGAGTCTCGCTCTGTCACCCAGGCTAGGGTGCAGTGGCGCAATCTGGGCTCACTGCAACCTCTGCCTCCCAGGTTCAAATGTTTCTCCTCCCTCAGCCTCCCGAGTAGCTGGGATTACAGGCACACGCCACCATGCCCGGCTAATTTTTGTATTTTTAGTAGAGATGGGGTTTCAACGTGTTGGCCAGGCTGATCTTGAACTCCTAGCCTCAGGTGATTCACCTGCCTCAGCCTCCCAAAGTGCTGGGATTACAGGCTTGAGCCACCGCGCCCGGCCAGTATATTGTAATCTTAAAAATGCTAACATAATGGACGTATTCTCACCACAGAAAATCACTGTGAGATTATGCATATGTTAATTATCTAGGTTCAGTCACTCCACAATGTATATATACTTTAGAACATATCTGGTGGAATCTCCAAAAAAACTACTGAAACTAATAAATGAATTTAGCAAGACTGCAGGATACAACCAGATCAAGGTGCTAAAGTCAATTTTATTCCCATATATTAACAATGAATTGCAAATTAACATATTAATTCTCCCCAAAATGATCCATAGATTTAATGCAGTTCCAATTAAAATCCAGTAGGTTTTCTTAAATATAGAAATTGAAAAGTTGTTTCTAAAAGTCACAACATGGCACATGTATACATATGTAACAAACCTGCACATTGTGCACATGTACCCTAGAGCTTAAAGTATAATAAAAATAAATAAATAAATAAATACAAATTAAAAATTAAAAATTTTAAAAAGAAAAGAAAATTAAAAGCACCTACGAGAGATTAGAGGCTTCTCAGGAAAAAAGAAAGAAAGAAAAAAAATGAAAATTAAAAGCAACTAGAAGAGCCAAAGTCATTCTGAAAAACACAAACAAAGTTAGAAGGGTAACACTACCTAAATTCAATACTTATCACAAAGCGATATAATCAGACTTGTGTGGGATTGGCATAATAAAGAATTGATTAATGGAAAACAGAGTGCAGAAATAGACCCACATATACTGGGAGAACTAATTTTTGACAAATATTTGAAGGCAACTCATTAAACAACGGACAATCGGGCACTGTTTCTCTTCATACTGAAAAATTATTTAATATTTCTTGTAATGTAGATTTTCTGTTAGTAAATTATTTCAGCTTTTGTTCATTTAAAATATCTTTATTTCACCTTCATTTCTGATGGCATTTTCAATAGATGTGTAATTCTGATTAATAGATTTTTTTTTCTTTCAGAACTTCAAAGGAGCTGTTTCATTTTCTATGAGTTCTGTTATTTCTGGTGAGAATAACACGGTCATTCCTACTGTTGTTTTCCTATATGTACTGCGTCCTTTTCTTCTGACTTCTTTCAAGATAGTCTATTTATTTTTTTTTACTCAGCAATTCTACTTTAATGTGGCTGGGGTGTCTGTTCATACTGCTTGGAGTTTACTGAGCTTCTCGGATATATGGATTGTAATTCTTATCAAAATTAGAAAAAATTTGGAACCATTTTTTCAAATATTTTTCTGCCCCGATATAGCATATCTCCTTCTAAGGCTCTGATTACATTTGCTTAGAGTGCTTGATATGTCCCTGCAGACCACCAAGGCTCTATTCTTTTTGTATTTCTCTGTGGGCTTTAAATTGGATAGTTTTTATTGACCTGCCTTCAGATTTGCTAATCCTTTCTTTGCACTATTGATTTTCCTAAGTCCATCCTGTGAAGTTTTAATTTCCGATATTATATCTGTTAGTTCTAGAATTTCTAATTTTTCTTTTTCACACTTTCATGTCTGTGCTGAGTCCCCATCTGTTTACTATTTCTATGCTTTTCTTTAAATCCTTGAATTTCTTGTGACAGCTGGTCAAAAAACATTAGCTGCCAATTCTATAATCTTTGTCGTCTTTGGATTTGTTTCTATTAACCCTTTCTTTTTTTCTTATTTTTTTTTTTTTTTTTGAGATGGAGTCTCGCTCTGTCCCCCAGGCTGGTGCAATCTCGGCTCACTGCAAGCTCTGCCTCCCAGGTTCAAGCGATTCTCCTGCCTCAGCCTCCTGAGTAGCTGGGATTACAGGTGCATGCCACCACTCCCGGCTAAATTTTGGTTTACTGTTTGGAAAGTTCTCCTGGGCAAAAAGCTGGGATTAATAAGGAACTTAGCACATGTGTTTCTCTTCTTTCAAAGTCACATTTCTGCAGTTTTACTCCATCTATTTTCTACAATATTATTGCTGTCTAAAACACAAAGCTGAATCCAATTCTTGTTTCTCTGTCATGGCTAGAGCTGCAAATCCTCCATCCTATTTTTCCCCATTGTTTAATGTGAATGGAGTGTTAAAGATTACCACACATTTGAGGAAAGCTTCTTATATCAAGTCTAGAGAACAAAACTAACAGGCAAACAAACAAACAAGAGCTTGAATGAGGCAGAAACCACACACGAAAAGAAAGGCTTTAAAAATAAGCCTCTTATGGCCAGGCGCGGTGGCTCACGCCTGTAATCGTAGCACCTTGGGAGGCCGAGGCAGGCGGATCACAAGGTCAGGAGATCGAGACTATCCTGGCTAACATGGTGAAACCCCGTCTCTACTAAAAACAAAAAAAAAAAAAAAAAAAAAAAACTAGCCGGGTGTAGTGGAAGGCGCCTGTAGTCTCAGCTACTCAGGAGGCTGAGGCAGGAGAATAGCGTGAACTCCTCCTACCCAGGAGGCAGAGGTTGCCGTGAGTGGAGATCATACCACTGCACTCCAGCCTGGGCGATAGAGCGAGACTCCATTAAAAAAAAAAAAAATTATCTTATTAATATACCCAGGGAGGTAGTGCATCCATGATTCAAGAACAGAATTTTATATTTTAATAAAAGAGTGAGACCATGTGTGGTGGCTTACACCTGTAATCCCAGCACTTTGGGAGGCAACGCAGGCAGATCATGAGGTCCGAAGTTTGAGACTAGTCTGGCCAACATGGTGAAATCCCATCTCTACTAAAAATACAAAAATTAGCCGGGCGTGGTGGTCCATGCCTGTAATCCCAGCTGCTCAGGAGACTGAGGCATGAGAATCATTTGAAGCTGAGGTGGAGGTTGCAGTGAGCTGAGACTGCACCACTGTACTCCAGTGTGACAGAGTAAAACTCGGTCTCTAAATAAGTAGATAAGTAAATAAAAATAAAAGAGTGAGAAACTACAGAGAAAAAAACCTGTTTTTAGAAAATAAATACGTGGGCCAGGTGTGGTGACTCACACCTGTAATCCCAGCACTTTGGGAAGCCAAGTTGGGTGATCATCTGAGGTCAGGAGTGCGAGACTAGCCTGGCCAACATGATGAAACCCCCTGTCTACTAAAAATACAAAAATTAGCTGGGCGTGGTGGTGCACGCCTGTAATCCCAGCTGCTCAGGAGGCTGAGGCAAGAGAATCACTTGAACCTGGGACGTGGAGTTGCAGTGAGCCGAGATCACACCACTGCACTCCAACTCCGTCTCAAAAATAAATAAATAAATAAATAAAATACAAAATTAGCTGGGTGTGGTGGCACACATCTGTAGTCTCAGCTACTAGGGAGGCTGAGACAGGAGAACTGCTTGAACTTGGTGAGAGGTGAAGCCAGCTGGACTTCCTGGGTGGAGTGGGGACTTGGAGAACTTTTCTGTCTTACAAGAGTGTTGTAAAATGCACCAATCAGCATTCTGTAGCCAGGATTGTAAAACACACCAATCAGCACTCTGTAGCTAGCAAGAGGATTATAAAATGCAACAATCAGTGCTCTGTAAAAACGCACCAATCAGCATGCTGTAGCTAGCAAAAGGACTGTAAAATGCACCAATCAGCACTCTGTAGCCAGCAAGAGGATTGTAAAATGTGTCAATCAGCACTCTGTAAAATGCACCAATCAGTGCTCTGTAAAACGCACCAATCAGCAGGATCCTAAAAGTAGCCAATTGCAGCTGGGAGCGGTGGCTCACGCCTGTATTCCCAGCACTTTGGGTGGCTGAGGAGGGCAGATCACGAGGTCAGGAGATTGAGACCATCCTGGCTAACACAGTGAAACCTCCTCTCTACTGAAAATACAAAAAATTAGCCAGGCATGGTGGTGAGCGCCTGTAGTCCCAGCTACTCGGGAGGCTGAGGCAGGAGAATGGCGTGGACCCGGGAGGCGGAGCTTGCAGTGAGCTGAGATCATGCCACTCACTCCAGCCTGGGCGACAGAGTGACACTCCGTGTCAAAAAAGAAAAGAAAAGAAAAAAGTAGCCAATCGCAGGGAGGATTGAAAAAAGGGCACTCTGATAGGACAAAAACGGAACATGGGAGGGGACAAATAAGGGAATAAAAGCTGGCCATCCCCCAGCCAGCCCTGGCAACCCTTCAGGTCTCCTTCCACCTCTGGAAGCTTTGTTCTTTCACTCTTCACAATAAACCTTGCTACCACTCACTCTTTGGGTCCATGCCATCTTTAAGAGCTGTAACACTCACCGCGAAGGTCCACCGCTTCATTCTTGAACTCAGCCACACCAGGAACCCACCAGAAGGAACCAACTCTGGACACACCGGGTGGCAGAGGCTGCAATGGGCTGAGACTGTGCCACTGCACTCCAGCCTAGGTGAAACAGAGCGAGACTCCGTCTCAAAAAAAGAAAAGAAAAACATCACAAAAATATAAAGTTCAACAGACAGATGGAAAATATGAGGGGCAGAAAAGATTTTTAAATTGCTAATCCAGCCCAAGAAGTCTAATGTCTGAATAACAGGAGTTTCAGAGAAAACAGAGGAGACAGAGATACCAAATAGTCAAGAAACTACCAGAAGCATACATCTCCAGAATGAAAAAAAGCACTGCCCAGAACAAGTGCTCTGCACAACTGATGAAAATACACCAACATTAAAGTACATCACTATGAAATGTTAGCACATTGAATGAAAAGCACATATTTTATATGCTCCCAGATAGAAAGGGGGAAAAAAAACAGCTTCCATAAAAGAAAGATCAATCAGAATGCTTCAGATGTCTTCACAGCAGCTCTGGAAGGAAGCAAGCATCTTCAGAATTATGGGGAAAAATAACACTTGCAACTAAGATGTATATATCCTGGAAAGCCACCAATCATGTATAAGGGTAGCTTAAAGACATTTGCAGACATACAGGTTCTCAAAATAATTATCTCCTATGCCTCTGGTTTCTAGAAGCTACTATAGAATGTGTTAATAATACAGGGGGAAAAAAACAGAAAAGAGGAGTCATAGAGTCCAAGAAAGAGACTCGAGCTCAGGAGTGAGGCAAAGCAGAGGCCCTGAGGGAGGGTGACAGGAGGTGCCTGGGTGAAAGCTAGTACCGAGCACGAGGGTCACCTATCCAGACACGAGCAGAGCAGGAGGCCTCACGAGAGAGTTCCTCAAGAAGTTAAATCTGCAAAGGCAGCTCATGTGTTTTTATGCAACTGAAAGTAGATTTATCTAACCAGGGAAACGTTCGGGGATAAAATTAGTGATAAGTGGCCCGATGCGGTGGCTCACACCTGCAATCCCAGCACTTTGTGAGGCTGAGGCAGGTGGATCTCCTGAGGTCAGGAGTTTGAGACCAGCCTGGCCAACGGGGTGAAACCCTGTCTCTATTAAAAATATAGAAATTAGCCAGGTGTCATGGCGAGTACTGGTAATACCAGCTACTGAGAAGGCTGAGGCAGGAGAATCACTTGAACCCGGGAGGTGGAGGCTGCAGTGAGCCCAGATGGCACCACTGCCCTCCAGCCTGGGCAACAGAGAGAGACTCCATCTCAAAAAAAAAAAAAAAAAAAAATTAGTGATAAATACAGAGAGAAATAGATGACAGTCATTGCCTCTAGTACAAACAAAAGCTGTACTAGGACATGGAAAGTAATTACAGTACCACACGGTTCAGCTGTGAATAGCATTTACATATTCACAATGCCATTACAATCTAGCCAAAATGCCATTAAAACTGCATATTCTTGGGAAGATGAGGGATTAAAAGTGGGTGTGGGGGTTAGGGACAGAGAGGGAAGGAAAGAGCCTAATTTTCATCTTGGATTGTGGAAACACAATAAATGCAGCTTAAAATGAAACAATCAAGAACGAGAATAGAAGCTGCTATTTAGAGATATGGAAGTTAATGCCTAAAGAATCAAACAGAAGAACAGGAAATGAAGAGACTGCTGTTCTTGGTATAATTCTTCAACATTTTGTTTTAATTTTTAAGGATTACTTCCAAAGGGTAGGTTCTAAAAAGTGAAAGTATTGGACCAATTATGTACCCTTTTTGTTGTTGCTGTTGTTGTTTTTTGAGACGGAGTCTCGCTCTGTCGTCCATGCTGCAGTGCAGCGGCACAATCTCAGCTCACTGCAAGCTCCACCTCTGGGGTTCACGTCATTCTCCTGCCTCAGCCTCTGGAGTAGCTGGGACTACAGGCGCCCACCACTATGCCCGGCTAATTTGTTGTATTTTTAGTAGAGATGGGGTTTCACCGTGTTAGCCAGGATGGTCTCGATCTTCTGACCTCGTGATCCACCAGCCTTTGCCTCCCAAAGAGCTGGGATTACAGGCGTGAGACCCCGTGCTCGACATTTTTGTTTGTTTTTAGAGACAGGGTATCACTCTGTCACCTAGATCGGAGTCCAGTGGTGGAATCACAGCTCACTGCACTCTCAAACTCCTGGGCTCAAGCAATCCTCCTGCCTCAGCCTCCCAAATAGCTGGGGCTACAGGCATGCATCACCATACCTGGCTAATTTTTTTGTATTTTTTTGTAGAGACAGGGTCTCCCTGAGGCAGGGAACCTAAGGCCAATTAGTGCTGACTTCCTAGAATTGAATCAAAATGAAAACCCCAACTTTCCACACCCAAGTAACAAAAGGATCAGAGGCTACTCCCTTTGCAACTGCCTCCACCTTTCTGTGAGGCAGATGAAAAATGGAAAGTGCCTCTGATTGATCCCTTTCTGCAACCAATCAGACTGGTCACGGGCCCAGTCTTCAATTGCATAGGGTAAAACTTTGTAACTTAACTTCAGCCTCTGATTGGTCCCCTCCTACAACCAATCAGACGTTTGCACAGGGTGTAACTCTGTAACTGCACTTCAGCCTGGGTTGCCTTCTGCAACCAGTCAGACTGGTCAGGGGCCACTCCTTCATTTACATAAGGTATAACCAAGTAACCAATGGGAAACCTCTAGAGGGTATTTAAACCCCAGAAAATTACATCACCAGGACTCTTGAGCCACTTACTGGAACCCACTCCCACTCTGTGGAGTGTACTTTCGTTTCAATAAATCTGTGCTTAATTCTTTCATTGCTTTGTGCATTTTGTCCAATTTCACGTTGAAAACACCAAGAACCTGGACAACTCGTAGTCAAGACCCTCCACCGGTAACATCACTATATTGCCCAGGCTGGTCTTGAGCCCCTCCTGAAGCAATCCTCCAGCATTGGCCTCCCAAAGTGTTGGGCTTACAGATGGGAGTCACTGCACCCGGCTGGTGTACTGTTTGAACGTTTTTGCCACATTTCAACCTATCCTCCTTTACAGAGTTGTATCAGCTCTGTTCCATGGGTGATCTGCTCTAATTTGGACTTCCATCCTACTTCCTGACTGTTAAATTAGGCTCTAGCCAGGCACTGAGCATCTCTGATACAAACGCCTGATATTTGACTGCGGGTTGTAGGACCCCAGGGAAGAGAGGGGGCCCTTTCAGAGGCCACTGGGGTAGGTTTCTGGGGAAGGTGACATTAAAGCTAGAGCTTAAAGAAGGAAGAGTTTTACATGTGCGGAGGGAAGGGAAGGGCTTTCTGGTAGGAAATGAGAGAAAACTGTTCTGTGGTTTTGTTTGTTTTTGTTTTGAAATACAGACAAGGTCTCACCTGTTGCCCAGGCCAGAGTGCAGTGGCATTCACAGGTGACACAGTGCTAGCAGCCCTCACTCTCAGCGCCTCCTCAGCCTCAGCGTCCACTCTGGCGGCGCCTGAGGGGCCCTTCAGCCCGCCACGGCACCGTGGGAGCCCCTCTCTGGGATGGCTGGGACCGGAGCCTCCTCCCTCTGCTTGCGGGGAGGTGTGGAGGGAGAGGCGCGGGTGGAAACCGGGGCTGGGCTCGCTGGCCAGTGTGAGTCTCGGCGGGCCCTGCACAAGCAGCGGCCGGCCCAGGGCAGTGAGCGGCTTAGCACCTGGACCAGCAGCTGCAGCGGTTGTGCCGGGTCCCCCAGCAGTGCTGGCCTGCCGGCGCTGCACTCAAATTCTCGCGTGGTTTGGCTGCCTCCAGGCAGGGCAGGGTTCAGGACCTGCAGCCCGCCATGTCCGAGCTCCTACCCCTGCAGTGAGCTCCCGCGAGGCCTGAGCCTCCCCGATAGGGGCCGCCCCCTGCTCCGTGGCACCCCGTGCCATCCACAGAACAAGGGCTGAGGAGTGCAGGCACGGCTGGGGACCGGCGGGCAGCTCCACCTGCAGCCCCAGTACAGAATCCACTGGGTGAAGCCAGCTGGGCTCCTGAACCGGATGGGGACTTGGAGAACTTTTATATCTAGCCAGAGGATTGTATGTGCACCAATCAGCACTCTGTATCTAGCTAACCTAGTGGAGACTTGGAGGACTAGCACTCTGTGACTCTGTGTCTAGCTCAGGGTTTGTAAATGTACCAATCAGCACTCTGTCTAGCTCAGGGTTTGTAAATGCACCAATTGGTACTCTGCATCTAGCTAACTCTGTGTCTAGCTAACTAGCACTCTGTGACTCTGTCTAGCTCAAGGATTGTAAACGTACCAATCAACACTGTCAAAACAGACCAATCAGCTCTCTGTAAAATGGACCAGTCAGCAGGATGTGGGTGGGGCCAGATAAGGGAATAAAAGCAGGCCGCCCTAGCAAGGAGTGGCAACCTGCTGGGGTCTGCTTACTGCATGTGGTCTTCGCTGTTTGCAATAAATCTTCCTGCTGCTCACTCTGCGTTGGTGTCATATTTATGAGCTGTAACACTCACCGTGAAGGTCTGCAGCTTCACTCCTGAAGTTAGTGAGACCATGAAGCCACCAGAAGGAAGAAGCTCCAGACACGTCTGAGCATCAGAAGAAACAAACTCCGGACACACCATCTTTAAGAACTGTGACATGGCGAGGGTACACGGCTTCATTATTGAAGTCAGCAAGGCCAAGAACTCACCAGTTCCGGACACAGTGGGACTTCAAGTCCCAACCCCCCACTGGGAAGCTCTTTCCCCTTTCGCCACCATCCCCAGGAGAGAAGCTAGTGGGGCCCTGGGGAAGACATGTGGTCAGTAAAGAGAAGCATGGCGGCTTTGCCTATGGGAGGCGATGGATGGCCACCAAGCTGGCCCCCAGCAGGAGTCGGTGGTGAAGCACAAGGACGTTCAGCCCCATGCTGTGTCTCAGGCCTGCCTCTCTCGTGGGCAGGGAACTGCTGCTTGTGACCTGACTGGGTAAGAGATCATAGTGGGGAGACGTTCCCTTAGGACCTGCAGCGGCCAAGATGGAGAATCCTGAGGTGAGGCGGGCGAGCCCTGAGCACCTGGGGGAGCAGAGGCCACCTGGGTCTGCAGAGCGTGGGTGGCAGCCACAGCAGATCAGTGACATTGTTCTCCGTTCTCTGCCCCTCTTGCTCCTGGCAGTGAGCTGGGCTTTCACCTCTGCTCTTCTGATGAGGGTGCGGAGGGGATCAGTCCTCCCTGACCCATCCTCAGGTGCTCAGCTCCTTGGTGACGTGGTTTTTGTCCCTTATTCACAGTGGTGTCCCACACACGCACTGCTGCCCACTCAGGCTGGAGAGAGGCTGTGGGCCTCACCCGTCTGTTCCCCGGACTCACAGGGCCTCAGGGCCAGACCTTCAGAGGAAGGAATTGCTCCGAATGTAAACAGCTCTCAGGAGAGTGATTCTCAGAGGGACCCTAAGCTTGCCAGCAGAGAATGGCCCCCCAGTGGTGCCCAGGCCTCAACAGCACCCAAGTGCCAAGGAACCTTCTGGAAGTCCCAGGTTCCTGGGCCTGGGAATGTGCATCCCCAGCCATCCCCTCCTGCTTTGGGAGAGTGGGATCATGTTTTTCCAGGCGCAGCATCATGGGGAGCCACAGCCACTCTCCGGGAGCCACATAGCCCCTGCTGCCCCAGCGGTGGTTCACCAAGCTCCTGGGCTCCGCAGGCCACGTGTGGGGTGGGGGCCTGCTCAGCCCTGGAGGCTGCATATTCTGAAAGCAGTCTATTCCCAGGAGCCCAACCATGAGTGTCTGTGGAAATAAAGGACGCTCCAGGTGAGGCTGGGTCTCCCCAGGGAGGAACAGTGGTCAGGTGAACAATGGTCACACAGACATCAGTTCTAATCCCTGCAGCATGCAAACCTTGCCTTATATGGCATAAAGGAGCTCTGCAGGTGTCATCAAGGTAAGGATTTTTTTTTGAGACGGAGTCTTGCTCTGTCGCCCAGGCTGGAGTGAAGTGGTGCGATCTCGGCTCACTGCAAGCTCTGCCTCCCGGGTTCAAGCGATTGTCCTGCCTCAGCCTCCCAAGTAGCTGGGACTACAGGCGCCTGCCACCATGCCCTGCTAAATATTTTTTGTATTTTTAGTAGAGATGGGGTTTCACCGTGTTAGCCAGGATGGTCTCGATCTCCTGACCTCATGATCCGCCTGCCTCAGCTTCCCAAAGTGCTGGGATTACAGGCCCTGGCCAGGATTTTTTTTGAGATGGAGTCTTACTCCCTTGCCCAGGTTGGAGTGAAGTAGCACGATCTCAGCTCACTGCAAACTCCACCTCCTGGATTCAAGGGATTCTCCAGCTTCACCTTCCCGAGAAGCTGGGATTACAGGCACCACCACGACTGGCTAATTTTTGTATTTTTAGTAGAGATGGGATTTCACCATGTTGGCCAGTCTGATCTCAAACTCCTGGCCTCAGTGATCCACCCGCCTTGGCTTCCCAAAGTGCTGGGATTGCAGGTGTGAGCCACTGCACTTGGCCAAGTTAAGGAACTTGGGATGGAAAGGTTGTCCTGGGTTAGCCAGGTGGGCCCTAAATGTAATCACAAGTGTCCTTACGAGAGGGAGGAAGAGAGACTACACACAGAAGAGAAGGTGGAAGAGAGATTACACAGAAGAGAACTTGATGTGACCAGGGAGGCAGAGACTGGAGGATGTGGCCATAAGCCAAGGAATGCTGGCAGCCCTTAGGAGCTGGCAGAGGCCAGAAGCAGATTCTCCTCTGGAGCCTCCAGAGGGAACCAGCCCTGCTGACACCTTGACTTTACCCCGTACAACTGGCTTTGGACTTGTGGCCTCCAGAACTGTAGAGAATAAACTTGTGTTAGCCACCAAGTTGTGGTAACTTGTCGCATCAGCCATGGGGCATCTCCTCCCCGTGGAAGCCGCAGCCTGGTGGAGAGGCTTAGCAGGGTCTGTCGGAGTCATCTGGGGTTTGAGCGCAAAGTCAGTAGCCTTGGAAGCTGCTCTTCTCTCTCTACACGGGTTGCAGCCACGTCTGCTCAGTGTGGTTTCAGTTCTCTGACAAGCCAGGGCTTCCCAGCCTGCCCCAGAGCAGGCCTTGCCTGCTGATGCAGCTGAGGCCCCGTCTGCAGCCCAGTCCAGCCCAGCCTGAGGGATTACTGAGAAGTCCAGGTGAGCTGGAGATGTGAGGTGGGGCTCACAGCTGGTGCCCAGCTTCCCCCAGCTCCTCCCACCCAGGCCCATCCTGCTGCTGCACCTTTCAGGGTCTCCACATCTGTCCCTAGACAGACTCTGTCCTTTCTGCAGGAGAGGGTAGAAACAGACCCTCACTGCGGGGTGGTCAGTCCCAGCACAGCCTGGGCAGAGCAGGCTTCGAAGCCTTTGGCAGGATGCTGGGCGCCTGGTGTGAGGACCAGGCCTGCCTCCCCTTATCCTCATGGGGTCTGGAGGGCAAGATCAGACCTGGGTCTAACCCAGGTCCCACGCCCCCCACCTCACAGGGGTGGGCACGGGTCTGAGGTTGGTTGAACAAACGACTCACGCAGCCCCCGACAAAGCTGGCTTCCTCAGAAAAGTATCAGAGCCCTCTTCCCAGGCCCCCTCCTGTCTCCAGCTCACTCCCAGCTGCAAATCTCAGCATTAGGTGTGAGGTGGAGGCTCTGGGATCTTGACTCTGGAAGACTCCCTGGCCCTTCCCAGCACCTCTTCTGTGCCTCAGGTCCCATCAACAACGTGGTCTTGGCTCCGGCCCCCGACTCTCCCTGCCCCCACCCCATGCACCTCCGAGGCCACCCTCTGTCCACCCTGCGTCCACCTGGAGCCCCCCATGGCCTCCTGCTGCTGCACTCCATCAGGATATCATGCTCCGACCTCAGACTGCTGGGCTCTGAGCCTCGCTGGACTCTACTTGGTGGGGATGGAAACCCAGTGAAAATGGGATCTGAGACAAAGGACCCCATGTGTAGACGCTGGGCATCCCTGGCCAGGGCCCCGTCCCCAACCCCAGGCCTGTGCCTCCCCTGCTCCACCACCTCCCCCAGCTCAGCTGCAGTTCGTGTTGGCTTCACCCTCGCAGGCCCCAGCACTGCTGACTTCCATGCACCCAGCTCAATAAACCCGAAGAAAACAGTCCCTCCAAAAGTCCCTGAATGGTGTCTGTCATCCTGGGTTGAACTCGTGCCCACCTCAGCAGTAGGAATTTTGTCAGGGAATGGAATGCTATGGGTCAGCCTTCAGGCCTCGGCCCCAGGCCTGGTGTGGGGCATAGAAAGGGCCATCTCGCTGGAACCCCATATACTGAGAGTGGGACAGGAGAGAGCCCTAAGGGAGCCACCATAAGAGGGAGTGGCTACTCACCAAAGATGCCCACATCTGCTGTGTCTCCTGCAGGTGCCCCTAGTGAGAGGTGAAGCCAGCCGGACTTCCTGGGTCGAGTGGGGACTTGGAGAACTTTTCTGTCTTACAATAGGATTGTAAAATGCACCAATCAGCACTCTGTAGCTAGGATTGTAAAACACACCAATCAGTGCTCTGTGGCTAGCTAGAGGTTTGTAAAATGTGCCAATCAGCACTCTGTAAAAATGCACCAATCAGCGCTTTGTGGCTGGCTAGAGGTTTGTAAAACGGACCAATCAGCACTCTGTAAAATGGACCAATCAGCAGGACTTGGGCAGGGACAAATAAGGGAATAAAAATGCTGGCCACCCACCCCACCCCTGGCCAGTAGCAGCAATTCCCTAGGGCCCCGTTCCACGCTGTGGAAGTTTTGTTTCACTCTTCACAATAAATCTTGCTGTTGCTCAGTCTTTGGGTCTGTGCCACCTTTGAGAGCTGTAACACTTAGTGCGAAGGGCCGCAGCTTCATTCTTGAAGTCAACGAGACTAGGAAACTCCAGACACACCACCTTTAAGAGCTTTAACACTCAACACGAAGGTCCACAGCTTCATTCTTGAAGTCAGCGAGACTACGAACCCACCGGAAGGGACAAACTCCGGACACACTAGGTGCACCCCACCTCCCTGCTGCTGACAGGCTGCTCACCCTGGCACCGGTGCTTCTGGCCACTGAGCGTGCCGTGTGGTCCTCTCTGCCCTAGGGAGCCTGCTGGCCGGCATCTGCCTCAGCCCCAGCATCATGGCCTCAGCCCTTTGTAGGGACCAGACTGATTCCTGCCAGGAAACCCCCCTCACCTTCCCCACCCAGAAACGGCAGGGACAGGCAGCAGGGGAGTGGACACGTCTGCCACATAACACCCTGGAGAATCGTGTGTCAACCTCTGTAACCTCAGTTTCCTCATCTGCAAACTGACCTGCCTGGGCTAGGGGGAGGCTAAAAGGCCCTGTCCAAACGCGAGCCGGCCCACAGTCCAGGCAGTTGCTGCACGCGGCTGAGTCAAGAGAAGGTGCCTTGGACTGGAGTGTGTCCCCAGTTCAGTAGCTCCAGGCTGGACTTGTCTATGCTAACCCGATGGCCACCTGGTAACGTTCAGCGAGGTTCACGCCCTCCAGGAAAGCTATCAGCACAGGGCACTCTGGGGACTGTGGATTGGGGCCCCGGGGTCGGGGGAGACCTCTCCAAAAGTGGCTCAGGCTAGGAGCTGCAGGTCTGGCAGGCACAGCACCTTCCCCCACGGTTACTGGCTCCCTCTCTCTCCCCAGACAACACCCGTCCAGAGCCCTGTGGCTGTGGACAGCCTGCACAAAGACGCCACTGTGCAGAGTCCTCTCTGCCTTGCCTCGTTCCCCAGGCAGAGTAGGGGTGCAGCATTTTCCATGGCTGCCCAGTACTCAGCTCAAGCTTCTGTATTCTGAGCTTCAGGCCTAATGCGCTTCCACGGTTCCCAGACCTGTCCCTCAGCCACGCCACAGGCCCGTGTGGTTGTTCCCAAGTACGCCTGCCTGACCCTGTCCAGAAAATGAGCGGTCGAGCGCTCAGCCAGGCTTCCCTTCTGTGCACAGGGAGCAGAGGGGCTCATGGCAGTCCCCAAGCACTGGGCACTTGGCCAGAAACAAAGGGGAGACCCTACGCTCAGCAAAGCATGAATCTACAAAAGAAGTCTGAGGCTGGGCGCGGTGGCTCACGTCTGTAGTCTCAACACTTTGGGAGGCCAGGAGTCCAAGACCAGCCTGGCCAATATGGCAAACCCCGTCTCTACTAAAAATACAAAAATTAGCTGGGTTTAGTGGCGTGCATCTGTAATCCCAGCTACTTGGGAGGCTGAGGTGGGAGGATGGTTTGAGCCTGCGAGGCAGAGGTTGCAGTGGGAGGATGGTTTGAGCCTGCGAGGCAGAGGTTGCAGTGAGCTGAGATTGTGCCACTGCACTCCAGCCTGGGTGACAAGAGCAAGATTCTGTCTCAAAAATAAAATTTTAGAAGTTCTGCAATTCTGCATAAAGATCAATGCTACTCATTCCTGGGGGCTGGGGTCACCAGGGAGGCTTCCTGGAGGAGGAAGCAGGGCTGAGGAATGGGTGGCAGCAGACAGTGTTTGTGGGTGAGGCTATGGTGCTGCTGGGGAGGCAGATGCAGCAGCTTGGGCTGGGGCCAGCGAGGAGCTGGGAATTCCCCAGGGCTTTCCAGAAGCCAGAAGGCCGGGCGGAGTGGGTTGTTCCTCTTATCTTGTCCTCCTGCCCTGGCCACAGCCGGGAAGCCCTGGGCAGGTGCCCATGGACAGCTAGCACGCTCAGCCTTTGGTGGAGCACTGAGGTGAGCTGGGAGGACTAACGGGAGGGAGGAGAGGTGTCCTGGGGCCCCAGGGCGAGGCCCTGCTTTGCACTCAGGATAAGAACCCAGGGCTCTAAGGGGAGGTGGTGAGGAAGGGAGCCGCCCGTCCTGCTGTATTCAAGGAGAGACACATCTGGGGTCAAATTAGAGCTGATGGGGACTGTGTTTTGGTCCTGAGTCAGCCCCGGGAGGTCCCCTCTTCCCCCTGGTCCAGAAGGTCTGAAGCAGGAAGGTGGAAAAACATTTCACCTGCTCAGGGAGGAAATGTCTTCACCCCAGTTTACAGATGAGGAAAGGGGCTCAGAGCGTGGCTAAAGCGTCCCAAGGGCCAGGCAGGCAGGTCAGGGTGCCCAGAGTTGCTGGCTGCTGATTCTGGGCTGGGTGGAGGAGGGGCTGCCGGCCTGTGATGGGACAGGGACAGTTGTGATTACTGGCCTGGAGAATGGGGGGCTTGAAAGTCAGGAAGGCCACAGGAGTCGGGACAGAGAAGCCGTGGCTTAAAAGTGTCCCCTAGAGTTCCTGTACTGGCAGCTTAGTCCCCAGTGCAATAGCACTGAGAGGCGGGACCGTTAAGAGGTGATGAGTTGACAGGGCTGGGCCCTCCCGGGTCCATCAATGCCATCATCATGGGAGTAGGTTTGTTATCAAAGTGAGTTCAGTCCCTTCGTACTCTCTGTGTCTGGAGCACACACACCCCGTCCTTCCACTCACTGCCATAGGATGACACGTCAGCAGGGCCCTCACCAGATGCTGGCCCCTTGATCTCAGACTTCCTGGCCTCCTGCACTGCTAGCCTAATACATTTCTCTTCGTTGTAAATTACTCAGTCTGTGATATTCTATGATAGCAACAGAAAACTGACGAAGATGCAAGCCCAGGTGAGCTCAGATGGGAATGGGGCCCAGTGTGAGTCAGGATATGGGCTGGCCCAGGGCGCAGAGGTCAGGAGCAGGACATCGGGGCCAGAGCTCAGGGTTACCTGGACTCTGTCAGAGGCCTCTGGGGTCTGCTGGATCTAGCCTCGCCACGCTGGTGTTTGAGGCCCTCTGCACTCCCATCCTGACCCCTGCTGTCATCCCACAGCCCCCTGCAGCCAGATTGGTCTCTTTCACCTCCTGTGCACACGCTTCAGTCTCATCTCTCACCCTTGACTCTGCCCAAAATAGTCTGTACTTACAAAGAGCCTGCCCCTCTTTCCAGCTTTATCTCAGGAAGGACCTTCAGGAAGCTTTTCCCAACCCCTTCAGCCCCAGGGACCTGAGATTTCTCTGGATTCTGGAATGCGCTGGCCGGCCACTCAACACCAGAGTGAACATGTGTGTCTGGTCCCGCTGTCCTCACTGCAGGAAGCTGATAGTTGTGGGGAGAGACGGACAGTAACCAGGGCAATGAGCCGATGCATCGATGCAGCGCAGGTCCCTTGTGGGGGATGGTGCTGAGAATGGAAATGACACACAAGGCCTCCCTGAGGTGGGGAGGAAGGGAAGGAGCCCACTGCGGAGATCTGGGGGCGCACAGGAAGTCCCGGGGCTGAAAAGAGCCGGCCTGGCTGGAGGCAGAAGGTCACGGGGGAGGCTGGTGCCAGAGCCACGGGGAGAGACCCAGGCAGAGCTGGAGAGGTTGTGGCAGCAACATTGTCCTGGTGACAAGTTTGGGCTTTGTTCTGAGAGCAATGGGAAGCCACCAGAGATGCCCACATGGAAGTACGTGGGAATGGATTGGCATTTTGGGACAGTCCCTCTGACTGCGGTGGTTAGAGGAGATTGTAGAGGTCAGTGCTGGATCCTGGGACAGCCCTTTGTGTCATCTGATTCAAGATGATGTACTTGGACCAGGGTGGTGGCAGTGGAATGAAGAAAGTGGATGGATTTGGGGCACAGAATCAATGAGGCTTGGGGATAAGGGGGACCACCCAGGATTCTGGCAGAAGCGAGCAGGTGTGGTGTGCAGTTCCCTGGCGGGGACACCTCAGACAGCAGCGACTTAGGCTGCAGGAGGAAGGCCAGGAGTGCCGCTGGGGACTGCAAGCCAGTGAAGCACTGTGTGGAGGTGTCAGGTGGACAAGTTGTCACAAGGGCCAGGCAACTCTGAGGAGGGCCCTGGGCAGACCACACTAACCATGGAGTCACGGAGCTGAGCTCAGATCCACTCCGTCCATATCACTGGCCATCTGGGCACTGTCACTGCTACCCCACTTCCCAGAGAGATTTCACCTGCACTCAGGACTCCAGCCATCACAGGTGTGCCCCCAGCTCCCACTCCTGCACCTCCTGCAAGACCCTGCCCTCCCCTAGCTTCAGGCACATGCCCAGCTCCTCCCAAACACTGCACCTGGTCACCTCAGGCTCCCTCCAACTCTGGAGACTCCAGTGGAACTCAGATACCTCCCCTCCCCACCGCCCCTGGCCTTCTCCTGCTGCTCCTCTTCCTCCATCCTCTGCCATGAGTGATGTCACTGTTGCCCACTCATAACAGCCAGCATCTTAGTTGGTACTCTAGACCAGGGCTTTTGCACACTTCAAGCCACGTGCAAATCACTTGGAGGTCTTGTTAAAATGCAGGTTCTCATTCAGCAAACCTGGGAGGCCCGAGATTCTGGATTTCTTTCTCCTTTCTTCTCTATTTTTTTTTCCCTTCTTTCCTTCCTTTCTTCTTTCTTCCTTGCTTCCTTCCCTCACTTCCTTCCTTCCTTCCCCCCTTCTTTCTTCCTTGCTTCCTTCACTCACTGCCTTCCTTCCTTCCCTGCTCC